CAAAGTTGGAGACTTCTTCAGGCAGCAAATTACAGAATGCTGACAAAGTACTCATCTCTCTCTCTCTCTCTCATTATATAGAGACTTTCAATTCTTCCACTTGGCAATTTCATCAGGGCACTCTGCTCAATTTATTTAATAGTCTGGGACAAGGTATGAGTCAGGAGTTCTTCATGACAGCAAATTACATGCGGATCAGCAACACAATCATCTCTTGGTGTTACTCTCTCTTCCTCATTCCCTCCTGATCTAATGCTTTTATGAACCTTGCCCAACATTGGTGTGGGGTCAGACGTGATCTGGGGTTCCAGGATTTTCAAAATAACTAATCCGATTTCTCTGCTGTGTCCTGGGAAGTAATTTGCATGTCCAAATATGGGGAGCTCCCCACCCCTGCAAGAGTGGCAGTAGCAACATATCAATCTGCCATATTCTCCTCCCTTCTCTTGCTCGCACCTCACACCAGTACCTTTCAGTGGCTTTTCCTCCCACTTCGTCATATCAGCTCCTCACACTGCCACCATCCAGGGAATAGGCATTCCACCAAAGCCATGGATACCTGACCCAAAAGAGGTGTTACTTTTAACGTCATTGTAAAATTTTTATCTGTCTTTTTACTTTTTATTCCTAATTATCACGTTTGGTCCATAATTCTTTTTCCCCACTTGACCAAAATTTTCTTGCTTAAGAAAATCTTGTTCCTTTAGCGATATGTGGATCTTCCACCCCTATCAAGTGACATAGAATCATTTCTTTACCGTTTTCTTCACCTACTTGTAACCATAAAATTATTATCTCTGACTAGCTTGGTGGTCTATGTCCACAATCACATTCCTCCCCACATAACCCTTGGGCTTCACTTTAACCAGATGCCTAAGTGGATTTCAGAGCGATCTTCTAGCAAGGTCCTTATTCGCAAAATGAGAAACAAAAATAAAAATATATTTTCTTTTGTTTTCGGTATGTCCTTCAATCTATTTCCTACCTTCTTTGTCTTGGTGTCCACTTTCAATTTAATTTAAGCTTTTTCTTCCTTCAAATTATCAGCATTTTTAGTGTCACAGACACATAAACGTGTGTGTGTGTGTGTGCGTGTATACACACACACACACACACAGTGTCCAATGGATAAATTGTCATCTAAATTATGCAAAAATAAAAAATATCTCATTTTAAGATATCTTTGATAAATATATCTTGAAATATAAAAAGTAAATTTATTCAATAAAATCACCATTGACTTCAACCACGGTTTCCAGATGACTTCAGAATCTCCACAAATCTTCTGGATGGTCTCCTTGTTTAAGTTCGCTAGTGCTGCCATAATCATTGCTTTCAGTTCGTCTTTGATGTTACAAGGAATTTTGTTGGTTTCTTGCTCAATTGCACCCCACACATAATAATCAAGGGGTTTGCCGTCTGGGGAGTTAGGTGGCCAAAGGTAAGGGGTGATGTAGTCGCATTTTTATCTGACAGCCATGACTGTGTTCTCCTGCTTGTGTGACATGGTGCAGAGTCCTGTTGCCAGACATAGGATCTTCCAGCAGCCATCCTCTTGACCCAGAGTAGCACTACCTCCTCAGAGCACTTCATGTAGGCCTCTGTGTTGAGTCTGAGGCCCTCCCCAACAAATTCGGGAGTTCTTTTATCATCAGAATGATCAGAGGGATTTTTCATGCTGCTGTACCATTGTAACTCTTTCCGAATCCTCTGCACTGTCTTCAGATTGACACCCAAACACTCTGAAGTATTCATATTGGAGATTCTGGCATGAATGCTAAGCAGTACAGTATACTGTTTCCAAATCTCTGGCAGAGTGAATTGCGTCATGGTGTTCTTTTTCTCACAGACAGTGTCTGACCCTACTATACTTTACAGTCAACAAAATCTAAAACAATGCACATGTGTGAAACTAAAAATATTAAAAAAATATATTTATCCATCAGACCCTGTATATTTATTGTTTCACCTCATACAAGGTGATAATGCCACTAAGAGTGAATGAGAAGACTTTAGTAAGGAAAGAACAAAGGTTCAACAATTGATGTTGCATTTTAACTTTTGAAGATTATATGTGGCAGGAAAGCAAGAAATCAGACAGGAGTTCTACAGGTAAGAAAAGAACCTGTAACAAGAGATGTTATGGTTGAATCTAGTTAATTCAATAGTAAAATAGTAGGACCTAGTTGCCAATCTAGTAGCACACTTAAATTCATGTAGTGGAGGGGTGGAAAGTCCATCAGAACAGTTGCCATGAAAAATATTTGTAGAAAAGACCAAGGGTGACCATATTACATTGGTGAGAAACTGTAGGGCAGGATCAATTATATTATAAATGTAATTGATCCTGAGCTCCAGATTTTGTCAAGAATCTTGAGATATAGTCGGAGCAACAACACTTCAATGTGGTGTAATGGTTAGCAAGCTTGTCTTGCTAAAACATTTAAGACTGAATAGTGAGTGTGATCCTCACTTGGTGTCCCATACTGTTGGCCTTGTGCCACATCTAAGCTTCACTTAGAAAAAAAATTACTATACAGTTGGAGCACCAGACAAGATATGGCAACAATATTCAATACAACAAATGGTATATATAAAATAAATGATGTATATAAATAATAAATAAATAAATAAATGATGTATATATAAAATAAATGATGTATATATATTTTTAATAAATTAATGCAAAATTTATTTTTCAGATGAACCACAATTTCAAATTTTGTGGAAAAACTTTGGCTAGCTTTATGATATTACAAATTTTCTTGTAACGTAATTATCAACAAACTTTTGAGGTGGACTTAAATATGTACATGTTGCACAAAAGAATTTAATACATTACTTGGTGCAAAATTTGGTTTTGTCTTTACATCCATGAATATCAAAATTTTATTTAAATTGTTCAGACTGCTGTCCTCATCTTTATTGCCATTTTCATGGCATTTCGGCCGTTGTATGCTCCAGCCTTCTTCAGGTGATTGGAATTTCGAACTGAACCCTTTGGCAATAAAGACATGGACAACAGTCTGAACAACATAAATAATGTAATTAATTACATACCTCGACTCAGAAATATAAACATATCAAAATTTTAATATACTTAGAAAAAATATTTCAAGACAAAGTAAAAAAATACTGAATACACAAAAGTAAAACTAGTAATCCTGGAAAATATATAATTCCTGTATTCTAAACATTTCTTATAAAATATTCGAAATAAGTATTCTTGAGATCCATTAGTAACCATGAGACTCAACATGACACCATTCTACAGATGTACTATAAGTGTTTATCAAATGTTTAGGCTAAACACTTGAAACACCTGAATGTGTGAATCAGTTATAACCAATTTAGTATAAGAGATAAGGAAATTGAGTAGTTTTGCCCAACATAAGTTGCTACTGAACAAGAACATTAACCTAAAAACTATAGCCTGTTCTTAAACAGATTCTATACTTTGAATAAACTCTGAAATTTTTACATTTCTTTTTCTTTAATAAGAGTAGACAGGTTCACTTATCACCTAGTTTACCCTCCTCCCTTGTCTTGAACAGAAGTAGAGGTTTATACATTGTTTCCTGTTTCAGATTGAATTTCCAGTTCCCTCTAAAGTCTTTTTCTTCACTTTCACTTCCAGTGGGACCCCTTCTGCTTTGGATGGTGCCTTTTACTCTGTAAGCCTCTACCTCAAGTGGTTCTTGAGCCTTGTACATTGTGAAAAAAAAAAAAAAAAAATATGCAAGCAAGCCTCATCAGATTAGCTTTGACATAGATTTCATGCATAGCACCAAACTGATTCAGAAATATCTTTCAATGGTTAAAAATGACATCTCAAAAATATACCAGATAACAAACCAGATCATTTAAGGATTTCCAACAGCAGCAATGATTAAAATGGATAGCATATGTAACTTGAGACAATGAGGACAATCATGCTAGTGACATTAAATAAGAAAAAATTAAAAATACAATACAACTAAACCTTATTTAATTAGAAAAGCTTTTAATTGCTTTTATGAATCAAATATCTTGTGGGCACTATTTAATTATGAAAATTCTTTTTTGATGAATAATTAATTTTTATAAGATTTTTCTTTTACATTTTAACTAAAATAATTTATAAATTTTTCAGTATTTCAAAATTCTGTATTTTTTTAATCGTTAAGTAATATTGTTATTAAATAAAAACTTTACTAAATCATAAATGGAAAAACTTAGTACAATTTGGTGACCCCCAGTATTTTAAAAAGAATTTTAAAAATTTTGTTTGTGTAGTCATGCTGATTTTCGTAAATACAGACATTCATACACAACATTATCAGAAAATTAAACCGGCCTTGTGCCATATGCCGTCCCTGTGTGGTGAGGGGGTGAGTAAATATCAAGTATAGTATCTATTCCAAGGAAACGTTTGTTATTCATTGACTGTGAAACCAACACCACTTGAGTTATGCTTTTCTTTGTTCCTTGGTCATAGGCCTGGGATCTAAGTGTAGTATCTGTTCTCACCTCAAAATGTTTGATTTGGGGGTGGGGATTGAATAATCTTGAGATTTCAAAGGAAAAGAATGTTACTTGCAATTCTAAGAACCACTGATTTATGGTTAAATTTGAATCTCAAAGCCCCCACCCCACAACAGATATTAATTTTATATATAATAAGGTGATGGAAAGCTTGTCTCAACTAAGGTTTAAAATCCTGATGTGAGAAGCAGTCCAAACAAAGAATGTGTGCGTGTGTTTCGTGAGAATGGGTACAAATTTCAGTCTCAAATTTAGGACATCATATTTCAATTTCAAAATTAAATTTGTAAACAAAAAAAAATTAAAAGAAAAAAAGAAATAAAAAAAGTCAATTGATTCGCTTTTATTGTTTCCTTCCAAAAATAAAGGAAAATTGGAACCGATTCCGATCCAACATTTTTCAAGTATAGAGGGGCCCCAAAAAGAAAATATTCACACAACAGAAGGTCTCTTTGGTTGAAGGCAGTGGTATCTCTTTAGAGGCTCACAATTGAACGGATGCTGTTAAAAACAAAATTGAAAAAAAAAATTATGCAAGTATAAAAAATAAAATGACAAATACTAAAAAATAATATTTTGCTTTAAAAAAAAAAAAAAAAAAAAAAAAAAAAAAGAGAGAGATGGAGAGAGAAAAAAAATTGCAGTTTGATTGAATTTTTTTTTGTAGCATATCAACTTTTTGCAAGTTATTTAAAAACATTTTTAGATTGTAAGAAAGTTTAGATGATGATTTACTGGTACTAGTCTTATTAATTAACCCATAGCTGGAGTGTGAGAAAAGATTGATTCATACCTTTCTTAAGGGTATTTGCACATAAGTGAATATAACAAACCCAACTGGAATTGAAACTCAGCCCTCCAATTTCCAATTCAGAGCAGTTATCCATTACACCACCTGCACATGAAAGCTTACAGTATCTGATATTCCCATTATTATTATTATTATTATTATTCACCTCTGCCTTTTCTTTATTCCTCTTCCTTTTCTTCTACTTCATCTTACTTATTCATCCAGGTTCAACATTGCTTAACTTTAGTGATTGTATGAGAACTGGTGTTTCAACATATGTCCGTAAGTCTAAAGCCAATGGAAAGTTATGAATAACATCTCATCACACAAGAGAAGCAAGACCAATTGGGAGGGAGATAATCGGTATTTTCACAATCTCTCAAGTAGAAATATCAAATTTTAAAATCTTACATTTTGGAATTTCTCATCTTGGATTCAATTGGCCCTCTAGTAGATTTTTTTTTTTTTTTTTTTTAACCAGGAGGTGGAGGGGACAAGCAGCAACTCTACTTTTGCTATTTTTAGCCCCTAGTGTTTGAAGAAAAATGCTTGAAAAAGCTCCATGGCATCTTCTATTGGGAACATAAGACCAATGGGTTTGTGTGGAAAAGGGTTGAAAGTTTTGTGGGCAACCAGGAACCTCTTCACGTCACTGTCAAATGGAGGAAAATGGTGTGGTTTGGACACATTACAAGGCAAGACCATCATGCAAGGCACTGTAGAAGGGGGACATGAGAGAGGATGCCAACACAAAAACTGGTTGGACAATGTCAAAAAATGGACAGGTATGACTGTACCAGAATTGCTGATGGCTGCTGTTAATAGACTGTTGTAGACGAGATTCAGTGTGGCTTTTGCATTCAGATACCGCCCCCCCACCACCACCAGCTACAATTACAAAAGTCAAGGGGCTGATGATGACATACAGATAAATGTATTCCACTCTTGGTTTTGAATTCAGAGTTGTCATCCTATTACAGTGGTCTGCAAATGAGGCAGGAGATCCCAGTCTGTTCTGCTATTTAACCCATAGCTGGGGATATAAAGAGCAGAATCTTCTTATGTGTGTGTAGGGCGGGGGTCTCAATTTTCAAAGAACACACTGTCCTTTGACAGAGATGCAACAGAGATGATAAGGAGATTTACTTGAGAAGCCCCTAAGCACACTCTGTCCAAAGACAGAGACGTAACTCAGAGATGATAAGTCATGTGAAATCCCCCAAAAGAGGAATTTATGTGGTATGCCTTGGAAAGTGGGAAGAAAGAGTTATTGTCCTTTTCAGAAGTGGGGGGTCATAGAATTGAGCAGATGACCAAAAACCCTTACTGGTTCAGTTATTACTAGCATCATCAGAAATTGTATTTATTTTTTTAAATTATTATTTTACTTATTAGTTTTTATTTAATTCCCTCCCCCACACATTTAAATTCTGAATTTTCTTTTTTCCTTGTTTAATTTTATTTCCTTCATCAAATCCTCTCATCGAGGTGTTCTAAAGCAATAAAAGATCGAACAAAGTTATCAATATATATACGGTTCAACATTTTCAAGGCATTTACAATGGATATACTTTAATAAAAATGTTTCTTACCTTTTGCCATCATGCATAAGATCAAATGCCTCGTTGATCTTTTCCAATTCCATGGTGTGTGTAATAAATTCATCTATCAATAACTTCCCAGCCAGGTAATCAAGTACGAGTTGAGGAACACTGTCTCTGCTTTTATAGCCTAAACAGAAAGAGAAAATTATAATTAACACAGTACAAATTACCTTACTATTCACAGATCCATTAATGATTCATACCTACCTACACACAATATGGATATTAATAATCCTACAGAACTTTATGAATAGTCATTTCTCTCAGGACATTCAATCATCAGGGTGTAATTCTGATAGATTCCTCTTCAAGGCGTCTCAGATGAGGCTATTTGATGGTGACATTTGTAATATGTAACATGCGACAGGTTGCACTGAGTTACATGGTGCAAGGAAGAATCTTTGAACCATTATTGAACACCTAAGAGACATTTTTTTTACAAAGCCAATGAGCTGTAAATGTCTTGATGTTTAACTATACAGAAATCAGAGAGCCAAATTCATTATTCATTTTTTTTTTTTTTTTTAAAGTCATTTCACTCTAAGCAAGGCAATAAAACCACTAAGACACAATGGGTTACTGATTCTGAAAGAATATGAAGGAGAGAGAGCAATAAAAGAAAATGAATTAACATAATGATTAACATTGAATTTAAACTTTGAAGATCAAAGTTGGCAAGAAGAGTGTTCTACAAGCAAGAAAAACCAGCCATTTCATTTGTAAAATGGTTAGACCTTGCCACCAATCTAGTAGTGCGTTTAAATTGATAAAGTCTAGGTACCAAAGAGGAAAGTTCATTAGAATAAACATCATGAAAATAGTTATAAAAAAGGCATAGGGAAACATTATGGTGGTGGGAAAGTAACAAACTGAGATGCCAGGTCAAGACCAATAACATTACAGATTCTTTGAATTTTATCAAGAATCTCTAAATACATAGCAGAAGCACTAGACCAGATATGTCAGCAATATTCAATGTATGGACAAATGGTAGACTTAAAAATGTATAAAATAGATTCTGTAGAGAAAAATTGTCTCACACAACACAGTATACCAATCTTCTTAGCAGCGGACGTAACAATTGATTCAGTATAGTCTTTCCATTTTATGTCAGTGGGAAAACATTAGTTCTAGAAGTCAAAAGGAGTCACTGCTTACATGCAAATACTGTTGGGAAAGATATGAATCAATCTTCTCCCCCTAGTTATGGATAAATAGCAGGATAGAATGGGCAACCAGTTTAAGAGAAGGAAAACTAGATTCAAATCAGGTTGGAGAAGATTTGGATAAATCAAGCTAGCATGCCCTAGATACACTATATCTGCAGTATATTTGGTGCCCTAAGATTCTAATGGGTTACAAAACTAAAGATTGTGAATTTTATTCTAAATTGCCATATTTAAAATATGATAGAAAAGGATTATATCTACAATTTAAAGTAAAAGCACTGTTTACTTGTAAGAATTTTATCAATTTATTTTCTCAAATTTTTCTTTTTTCTAATTTAGCAAATTAAGCATCTCATATTACTCTTATTAACGTCTTCCAATCGTCCACCATTAAATTATATCAAAAGCAATTAGTTATTTTTTTTTTTTTGGTACATTAAATTCAGAATTGTTACCAGTAATTACATCCTCTGCTTACACTCGAATTTCAAAAAGGATGGATTATTTTTATTGTATTGTATTGATGCGGCATTCACCCTGTGCGGATTGAGCCGGCTTCTTCCTGTTGACTCATTCGTAGTCATGTGAGAAGAAGATTCTTGGGATAAATTACAGAAGTAGGGTACCCAGGCCTACTCGAATAACGTTCTTGCTTGCCGCGGGGTTCCCACAGACGCAGAGACATGAACGACCAGAAGCCGCCGGTTGCCGATGCAGACGCTCCTTGGATTTTTTCCTAAGAGCAGGTTTGAATTCAGATTTTTCCTTCTCCTAGACTAGGCTATAGAACCCAGTCTGTCCTGCTATTTACCCATAGCTGGAGGGAGAAGAAGAGGATTCACACATTTCCCAAGGGTGTTAGCACGTAAGTGAATGTAATGGATTCGACTGGAATTCGAACTCGGCTCTCTGATTCCTCAATCCAAGCCGCTATCCATTACTCCACCGTGCTTCCTCTAAGGATGGATGGAAAACTTTCAAATATTAAATGTAAGGAGTGGACAGAAATTTTTCTGAATATTTAATAAAAAGGATGGTTCGAATAAAGATGGCCTGTGTTGATTTTTATGAAGTCCCCTGCCCTTCTATTTGAAACTTAAAAGTAACTGTTAAATGACGGTAACAGTCTTTCTGACCGAGGTCTCAAAAAACTAAGGGAAGTAATGAGATGAACAGAAAATAAATTACCTCCCTTGCAATACCTATTTAAAAAAAAGAAAAAAAAAAAAAAAAAAAAGGAAAAGCATCCGAACGAATATTAAATTCACAGTAACACAATAACAAAAAAAAAAAAAAAAAAAAAAAAAAAAAAAAAAACACTTTTGGCCTACACATACATTATTATAATTGTTTTAATATTTTTATCATAAAATGTGAAAAGTAAATTTGAATAACAATTTTCTTTTGTTATAAAATCTTGATTGAATTAGAAACGTCATGTTCTTTGGTCAGATCAGTATCAATCCCCTATGTGCCATGCATGATACATGCTTAGGCGATCATGTATCTTTTGATACATGACTGAGGAGGTAGATTTTTTTTTTATGCAGTAGGTTGCCATTTCTTTCTGTGGTAGACCAGTTGCCATCCAAGGTTATGGAACCCAGCCTGTCCAGCAATTTACCCATAGCTTGGGGGTGAGAAGAGGAGGATTCATACCCAAAAGGTATTGGGAAAGTCCCAAAGTTATACTTGACAAAATGTTTCCGGTTTACTCCAAGTATGAATTTTATTTTGCAATCTTTGAAGGCTTGGAGATCAGATTATTTCAAATAAGACTCAAAGATAAATTTGGTACAACATGAAAAAGGATGCAAGGACTTTTGTGAGGAGGGGGAGGGGTGATGTAATATGTAACGGCCAGTTTTGTTTTACGGCATAAAACCTCAATGGGTTATTTAATGCCGACAAAATTTTTTATTGCCGGTAATAATGTATTGCCGGTAATAATTTTTTTACAAAAAGTATTTCTGGTATTAAAACTAATTTTTACACTTTTATGTTTTGACCCCAGTTTAGGGGTTAACTATTTGCCTATAGATGGGACCCTAACAGGTGCTACCACCATGATTCAGGGTGTACCTGAGAACACTAGCAATTAAGAGGTGGTTCCATGCTCCTCAAAACCTCCTGATCAAAGACCTTGCTGTTGAATGTAGTTTATTGTCTTACCCAGGATGTAGATGTAGTTTATTGTCATACCCAGGACAGAAAAAAGCAAGAAAAAGGAAAAGGAAAAGAAAAAGGAAGTAAAAAGAAAGAAAAATTTTTTTTCTATAAGCTTACCTCCAAAAGCTGTTCCCTTCCAAACTCGTCCAGTGACCAGCTGAAATGGACGAGTAGAAATCTCTTGTCCAGCAGCAGCAACACCAATAATGGTGGATACACCCCAACCTTTGTGGCATGATTCCAAGGCAGCTCTCTGTGAACAGAATATTGAAAGAAAATTCAAGAAAAGCTGTATAAAGCCCTTGTACCAGTTAGGCACCTTAAAGTGCACTTAAGATGCCTTTAATAACTAGAAATCCATCATTCATTTTGTTTAAGATACCTTCTATCATTTTGAGAAGAGTCATTATCATCCAGAGTGTAACTATAAATTCTATTTTAATAGTTTCTTTTCTCACCTGTGGAACTTTCAGTTTCTTGCTTCCCTGCCATCTACAATCTTTAAAGATTTAAACGCAATGTCAATCGCTATTTTTCATCTTCTTGAATCCTGTTCCCCCCCACCTTCTTTCACTCTCAGTAACCCCTTGCATATTAGTGGCATTATCACCTTCACTTGGATGGAAATTATTTAAAAATGTCTGAAATGTTATAGATAAAACCTGAATAAAGATTTTCTTAATGTCATTGTTATACTTAAGTGTGGACAAATGCACAACTCTCACGACTAAAGAATTTCCATCAGTGCGTTTTCATGACCCAATGAATCCCCTCAGGTGGCTAGGCTTGTTGGAAGATGGGTGATTTTATAGTCACCATCTCTAACAATTGACAACCAAGCTGGAGGGAGAAGAGATGGATTCATGCCTTTCCCAAGGGTATTTGCATGTAAGTGAATGTAACAAACTCAGCTGGACTTTGAACTTGGCTCTCTGGTTTATTATTCAGAGTTATTATCTATTTACACCACCTGCACATCTCATCTTTCTTATTACTATATAAAACTCTGTGAACTTTGTATCTTGTGTGTTATGACAGAAGTCATATATAGCAAGTGGGGAAAAGAAAGATGTAAATTTATTATTGTGCAGGAAGTGGGGGATGGAGCCAATTTTCTTAAAAGAAAGTGTATAAAACACACAAAATCTGGCCCCAAACAGGATACACACAGCTGTCATCAAGGTCCACACCACACTCGCTTGTGAACTTCATGACCTCATGCTAAAAGTGATAGCACTGACAAACTTCAAAAAGACTGCTTCACTATCTCTTCTATCCTCTTTACTATGAACCAGGCACACACACGTTGACTTTTTCACAAACACACATATAACATTTCATTGTTTCACACATATGTACACAAAGAGAATTTATATTTAATTTCAGAATTTTATTAACCCAAACAAAAAGACATTACTTTCCAATCTATGACTAATTGCTTGTATTCTTGTTGCTATATTAATGTTCTTTTGTTGAAATGTTGTATTTTCTTCTGAATTTTATTCTTTCAATAAAAATTGTTTGATTATTGTAAACATTTATGTTTATTGAATTCCAACACAATCTTGACATTCCAAGCTCTTATTGTTCAACTTTCTTCAAACAGACAATTTTTTTTAATGTTGAAAGCAACTTCAATAACTGCAAATAAATGTATTTTTAAAATATCTACTTCCACAAACTCTTCATAAAATTAAATGTAAACAGTAACCACAACAAGGTTGACCTAACGGGTCACAGGTTGTCTAGTAGATCTTAAAAATCAATTTCAAGTTGTTAATATTTCTAACTGCTTGACGTTCTTAAGATCTTAACAGCCAACAAGTGTTATATTTTATATCAAGAGTATGTCCTGGAAACAAGTCTATTTTACCGAACATACTGTCAAAGTGAAAAAGAAGGACATTATAGCTGCTATTTACCATGGTGCTAACATTTCCGATACATTCAAAAGTAAAGTCACAGCCGCCATCTGTCATTTCACACAGGACTTCTTGGATTGATTTTTGGTGGTCTTTTGGATTAACAAATTCAGTAACTCCAAATTTCTTGGCTGAAAACACAAGAAAAAGAAAAAAATTAGTTTGCAAACAGATCATTTATTCTCAGAAGTATTAAGTTCTAACTTAATTGGAACTTAAACTAAGAATTCCAAAGCTTGAATCCATAAGGAGTTCAGAAGGAAGAATATTTTTGTAGTTACGTAATTTTTTTTATAACACTTTATAATTATATCATGCCTAACATACATGACATGTTCATTAGATTTTATTTCTTTTGCTAGAAGCAAAAATCTGAGTTGACTACATCAAACTATTTTCTACATTGGATTCTGGTCCCTCTAAAAGGGAGTTTTGTTTTTGTAAGGGTTTGTTTTTTATATATTCTGTTTAACAAGACTACACTATGTCTATCTCACATTATATATATATATATATATATATATATATATATATATACACACACAAAAATATGTAATATATTAAGAATAAATACTTAATCAGATCTACAAATAATCTCAAAACCACTATAAAACTGGGAAGAGTCACTTTCACATTGACTAGAGACTTTCAGAGTGTGTGAGGAGAGAGAGAGAAGGCGAACGAGAGAGAGAGAAAGTGATGTGTGTATGTGTGAATGGGAGTTAGAAAAAGCACGAATGAAAGAGAGAGAAATTGAATGAGAGAGAAAATAAAACCCTACAGAAAGTAAGAATATGGAATAAGTACAAAATCTTTATAAATTCCATAATGATTTAGCTTCAATCATGTCTCAAGAAAGTACGATCCATGAAGAAAGCAAAATGGCAGAACACATTAGATTCATAAACATTCTTTACTTGCTCCATATTCAATTATTCAAAACAATATAATTTCATCCATACTTTTAATTTCTCCCTCAAGCAATATGTGTGTTTATCTAAAAATAAATACACTTAAATTCACCTTCATCCCTGCCGTGTGCCGACAGCTTAGTGGTAGAATCTCCGACTGACGCCAATTCAGCCGGTTTTCGATCCTAGCTAAAGGCAAAACGGACATCTAGCCACTCTGATGAGCTGTGATACAGCAAAACAGTCTGTGGATGACACATATATAAAAGCAGGTATCCGCTTATCTTAAAAGATAAAAGGTAGCACCCTGATTGGTTAAAATTCAGTCCTTTGGGGATGAGACTGACGTGACCTCTCTAGTGGACAGGCCTGTGTGATGGTATATGAAGGCCATGCTCTCTGCCCAGACGACATGACTCCCTGCTTTCAGCCATACTGACAAGATCCAAAGGAATACAGATAACAAAATAACTAGAGTTACAGATGCTGTTGGAAAACATTTTCGGAAAAAAATTTTCAGCATTTACAAATATTTACATAAATAATGTTTTGATTAGACTAGTCCCCCAACCCAACTCTACACAGAAGAAAAACAAAATGTTTAAACTTCTATTTTTGAAAAGTTTGCCTTTTTATAGTGTGGCATAAAATTTTTTTCCACCACTCACAACACACCTGGTAGCCCACCCCCATGGTCCTGGAACTATACTTACCTGACCCAGGCAATTAATCTTTTCATGAACAGAAAAATTCAAAAGTATTATTAATGGTTGGATTGAAAAAAAAAAAAAAAAATACAAAATTGAAACCACAAACAAAAGAAAAACTTTAACTTACCAACTTCAAATTTACTGTTATTAATATCTATTCCAATAATTCGGGAAGCTCCTGCTGCCTTGCAGCCCATAGCCACAGCAAGACCAACAGCACCCAGGCCCCAGACTGCACATATGGAGTCCTTCTCAACCTACAGGAAGGAGGGTAGGAAAAAAAAATGGAGGCAATAAAATTTTATTACTAACTCCTGAAATTTTACATTTCAATGATAGTGGCCATAATAATGAAACAAATATGATTGTCTTTAAGTGTTTAAATCCTTGAGTCAGACGCTTTGATCTCCACAACAGGACAGTTTCAAAATTGCAGTCAGTAGATTTTTTTTTTTTCACGTCTTTGGTCTCTCTTGGATTGTAATCAGTGCAGGAAGTCTAAAGGGGTTCAGAAGCTAGAATTTGGAAGATGGTTGGGCTGAGAACTTTGAGCACACCTACATATGAAATAGAAACGACTGAGAAAGGGGAGACAAGGAGAGATATGAATGAGAGAGAGAGGTGAGAGACAAAGACACAAAGAGAGAGATATGACAGAGAAGACACAAAGAGAGAGATATGACAGAGAAGACACAAAGAGAGAGATATGACAGAGAAGACACAAAGAGAGAGTTTTGGCTAATCAATGTATGTCAATCGGTCAATTGGTTCTCTTTCCTTAATTCTATATATCACAAATGTATAATTTTTCTTCCTTGCAGACAAAACAACACTTTTGTTGCAACGTGTATTAATAACAAAACATTTACCCATCGACCCTGGAGTAGGATTGGAAATACTGAACTTTGATGTCAGTATGCCAACAACAGGAGAAAATACCCAAAATTAAATGAATAATAATCCTATTGTTGTAGACTGAGAGAATCAAAAATATTTCCAAATATTTCCAATATTTCACAAGACAGCATTATTTTAAATGGAACCAAATCTTGGGTGAAGTTCTACCATATAGGGGAAGGGCAAATACATAGATGCTAGCTTTAGAGAGCTGAGTAAGATACAAGACAGCATTATTAGAAATTCATAAAAAGAAACTGATTTTAAATGGAACCAAATGGTGAACATGGGTGAAGTTCTAGAAGCATCCAAGATATAGGGGAAGGGCAAATACATAGATGCTAGCTGAGAGAGATAGAGAGCAAGATAGAGAGCAAGATAGAGAGCAAGATAGAGAGCAAGATAGAGAGCAAGATAGAGAGCAAGATAGAGAGCAAGATAGAGAGCAAGATAGAGAGCAAGATAGAGAGCAAGATAGAGAGCAAGTGAGAGACAAAATTTCATAAATCTGCAATAAATATATACAAATAGACATGGTTGAAGTTGGCCAAATAGAGATCATAAATTATGTTCCAGAAACATTTGATATACCATTCAATACTTTGTTTTTTTTTTTATTAATATTCCTATCTGAAATGAGTGTGTGGGGGGGGAGTTCTTATATGTTACCTCCTTATATACCAGCAACTTCATCTTTTTGCTGCTTTTCATCAGTATTCTAAAGCCTGTATTCAGGAGCAGTATTTATGAATAACCTAAAAGAACTTCCTTAGCTAAAAATGGCAAATCTAATCTGTAAACCAAATGCTTAGAAACGGGAATGGATAATGCAATAGAGGCATTGTAGGGCATGTCTAAAATCTAATTTAAAGAAATGAATTTATTTAAATATATTTTACCTTCGCAGTATTTAAAGCTGCTCCATAACCGGTTGATATCCCACAACCAAGAAGACAGACTTTGTCAAGAGGAGCATTTTCAACAACCTGAAAGCAAATTGAAAAGTTTCAAAACATTCACAGGATTATGGATCTAATGATTTTACTATAGGAACGCATTGAAAATGGGGAAGAAAGGGATTGTCAGTGGTCAGGAATGAAGGCAAGCATTATTAATAGAATAGGGCTATTATATGTATAATGGAAATGCATTGCTACTGATTTTACTATAGGAATGCATTGAAAATGAGGAAGAAAGCGATTGTCAGTGGTCAGGAATGAAGGCAAGCATTACTAATAGAATAGGGCTATTATATGTATAATGGAAATTCATTGCTAATGATTTTACTGTAGGCATTCATTGATAATGAGGAAAACACTATTCTGACTGAATAAATATTTTGCAATGTTTAATCTTTATTTTAAAGCAGTTTTAGGTGTGCGTTTTGATTGTCTATTTTGAGGTGGCACATTTTTTTTCATCTATCAAGTGATCAAATATTTCAAAAATGAAGATAAATTGCATTTCTCACCTTTGCAATTGAAATCTCAGCAACAACTGTGTATTCACTGAAGGAACTGCAACCCATGAAATGGAAAACTTCTTTGCCTTGGCACTTGAAACGTGTTGTCCCATCAGGCATCACACCTTTGCCTTGGGTGGCACTAAAATTAAAAACCCTTATATTAATAGTTGCTTAACACCAAATGGAATGTCAAAAAATCTCGGTATCTGGAAAAGCAGAGAAGGCAGACATGTTCAAGTGAGCAAAATAATTGTGAAAAACACTGATCATTTTTCCATTGACCATCTCAGCTTGTACATTAAAATGTCTGAATACCTTTTAGTATTTATATTATGGCAATGCTTCTGGTTTCAAGCACATGTAAGAAATATTTAAACACCTGGGGAAGTGGGGTGATTGATCAATTTGTTTTTTTATGGTTTATCAACCCATTGCAGGCTATGTAAATTATTTTTAGATTGTAGGATTTTTTGGGAGATAATAATTTACTGATACAAGTCCTACTAATTAATCCATAGCTGGGGAGAGAAGAGGTGGATTTGCCAAGGCTATTTGTGCTGAAATGACTATGTTGAACCCAACTGGAATTGGAACTCTGCTTCCAAATCACCAATTCTGAGTCATTATCCATTACACCACCCACACATCCAACCTTACACCACATGGTATTCCCATGTCACCTGTTTAGGTGCTGATCAGATAATGTTTAAATTCAGTGATCATTCAAGAACCAGCATTTCAAGCTGAGTGTATGTGGAGATCATTTATATATATATATATATATATATATATATATATATATATATATATATATAGATAGATAGATAGATAGATAATGGAAAATATACATACATATGAAAATATATCTAAAAAAATTTCCATACATGTATATTTTCAGAAAAAATTTTCCAGGAGGAAGGATCCAGGTAGAACTCAATGTCTAGGACAGAGTAAGGATATAATAAAAAGGCTTAAACACTAATATTCCATGGTCATAATTTATTCCATTGGAATCGTAAATACGATCAAATCATCAGACCTACAAATTCAAAAGTGAAAAAAGAAAAAACAACTCCGGAAATCCTAACTTAATTTAGTGAAAAGTATGTATGTCACAGGGACATGTATCTCTAGGATTAGATGTCCGTGGGGTTTCTTTTAAAAAGAAAAAAAGAAAAGTCGACCCATGTCCAATGCATCCTAGAATTTCTTTCTGTCCCTCCTGACATACATACATCACAGACAAATTCGTTTTTGGATTCCGGAGTTGTTTTTTCTGTTTTCATTTTGAATTTGTAGGTCTGATGATTTGGATCGTATTTACGATTCCAATGGAATAAATTATGACCATGGAATATTAGTGTTTAAGCCTTTTTATTATATATATATATATATATATATATATATATATATATATATATATATGGAGAGAGAGAGACACAGAGAAGTAACAATATCAAATCCCTAAGTGGAAAGGATAATCCAAATAGGTTTTTTTAACATAAAATATTAAAAAGATATATCCATAAAGAGAGCTCAGTGTATAGTATACAGAGCAATATGATATACATCAAAGGAAAAACTTAACACATCATTGAAAACTTGATTATAAATTATAATTTATTTCAACAAGTTTTTAATATTTGTCTCATCAGACTGAAATTACAAATGGTTTAAATTTATCTAGACAATATTTAAAAAAAAAACAAAAAAAAAAAAAACAAGTTGAGACTCTTGGCCTAGAAAATTTATTTTCTTGGGGATTTATATTATTGAAGACATGGATGGGGGAGGACAGGCAGGTGTCAGCCTCATGTTCATATGTGGTGTTTGTGAGAATATGAGTAACAGCTCGAGAAATAAATTAGAATAAAATCTAGATCTCTCTTGAGTGTGTGTATATATATATATATATATATATATATATATATATATATATATATATATATATATATATATATATGTGTGTGTGTGTGTGTGTGTGTGTGTGTGTAAAAAAGACAATAGGAAAACTGTATTATTAGCTGATGTGTTTCATGCAATGTGGACTTTTACAAGGCAAAAACGAAATCATTTTGTTTTTGTCTTGAAAAAGTCCACATTGGACATATTGAGCTATCTGCTGTGGAGGAGTCTTTGTTTGGCCATCATCGCAATAGTTAGGGAGGATTAGATGTGATAGGCATCAATAAACTACAGAACTCAAAATTGATCACTGCATTTAAGTATTTACTTTTTAAAAGTCCAACAATAATTCTCCTGCCGCTTAAAGATGATTTGATGTCCGTAGATCCTTATTTTCTGCACAAACAATTATTTTTATTTCATGGATGACAGAACAGGAGACAATTTATAAGACAAAGTTTAATAGAGTGTAAAGATGGGAAAATAGAATTTATATATTCTTACATATATATTACTTTAAATGTTATTTTTAATTGGTATCTGTATTTCAGTAGATGCTCCACTTTTCTTTTTGAACAATTTTTCTTATTTTGTTTATCAGCCTGAACACTTAAGAAAGCTTAAAACAAAATGTCCCCTCTTTTATTTAGTAAGTTCTCTCTAGTGTGCAGGCCAGTAGATAAAAAAGAGTTTAGAAAAATGGAGCATCTACTCAAATACGGATATCCACGAAAAATTACATTTGAAATAAGAAAAAATAATATCCATTAATTCTTTCAAAATTGCCGTTTACATTTCAGATACGAAACTGAGCAGATACGGCTTTTGAGAAAATGTGAACAAATAAACATGAACTAAGGCAAATAGAACCTTACTTGATTGCAAAGCTCTCTGTAGCCAAGAAGGTGAGGCAGGCTGGATCAGACACTGGTGTCTCCTGCCATGATCATCAACTAGCAAGGAGACTTATATTTTGTCTATTTAGTCACCACCCACTCTACTTTTTTTCTTTCTTTTTTTTAAAATACTGCTGAATTATTGCTAGGCTTGTCTCTACTGAGGCAGAGTGTATTACCCAGTCCAGGGATTGAATTCACAATTAATAGTTTACTTTATTTTCCCAAGAGAGAATCCTTATGCTCATACTTTGAGCCTTAAACCCATTGTTATTATTGGTTACTGCTTCTGCTGAAGCCTTACTGTCAAGCATGAAGCCCTCTGCCACCACTTATTTTTTCAGGCTTCACAATTTCTTTTTACCAAGTGTTTTATGGATTTCAATTTTGCTTGAATCGACTGATCTTGGGAGATATCAAGTATAAGAGAATAACTGTAGTTTCAACTGCTGACCGAGCAGTGTAGATTTTAGAAGTACATGAAGGTAATAAAAAAAAAACACTGATCTTGAAGATTCTGATTACTTTCAACAAATATTACTAAAAACAAATTTCAAAAATGCGGGCCACCATCACCAATCCCTATGCTAAATAACCAAAAAGCATTGACCTACCGAATTTTTTGGCAAAGGTTCGTCTTTGGATTTTTACAGAATTTACACTCAAAACACTGCGGGACATACAGTGGAATGACATGGTCTCCTGAAAGTGAAGAAATTATAGGAGGAATGAAACAAGTTAAAAAAAAAAAAAAAAATTAAAAAAAAAAAGACAGCCATTAAAACTATATACACTAAAGTATTTATTATAAGTATTATTTTTAGTGGGTGCACTTGTTTTGGTTGCTTTCCCTAATTTTTATTATTTTCTTAAATGGTAAAATTAATAACAATTTGTCTTGATCAAGAAGTCCGACTAAAGAAAAATTGTGCCTCCTGACAGGAATCAAAAACTAAATCATCCCCCACCAAAAAATCAGGGAAACCACTCCTATAGAGAAAGTTTCCACATAAGTCAATAAAGCCATAAAGACACAAGTGAGATATATATATATATGACAAAAATGAAAATATATATGTTGGTTTCATGAGTACGACTTTGTCAACGAGACTTACATTTCATATGAATGATTATAGTTCAATCTCACAACATTATAACGCAACATTCCTGTCCACATTCCTGATTTAGAGAAATATTAAATCAACAATACAACTATACTCCACCATGAAAATAAACAAAAATTTCAAATTCTGGAAGCCCTTTATATAAAAAAAATTATGGACAAAAATAAATGAAATCAATTATGAGTATAGCAACAAAGTCCTAAAATGTTTATAAGAAGGTTTTAAAATATATTGTTAAAAACTACAATTAAATCAATATTTTAAAACACACAATTACAATTTTTAATAAGAATTTACATAAATTAATTTATCTCCATTACAAAGCGGTGACTTTTTCAAGTTTGTTTTACAGCATTCATATTCATAACATAACACACACATTATATATATATTTCATAGGCAATAACTATGACTTTAAAAAAATAATAAAAACAGTAATGTCGGTTCATATAAGCTGAGCTGAGAATCATTGTAATTCTGCTTGTTCCTTAAGTTAACATATGTTACGCCCTGCCAATACCTCAAGGTAAGACAGAAAAGACATATCAGAGATGCTGTTTAATTTCAATGAGAAAAGGAAAATAAGGTGATAACATGTCTGCCCCAGTAAAATGAAAAACTTGTCAATTTTGAATGTTTTTATATCTACCCTCTTACTTCTGTGAATAATGACCTGCGTTCAGATTTATGATTATTAATACAATATTTGGTCAAAGTTTATTAAGTTCAAATATTAAAAGATGCAATAGGGGAATTTCCATGGGGTTTTTATATTATAGTCATCAAACTCACAAGGAATTTATTCAGTTATTAATTTAATAATTCTGATTTGTCATAAAATTAAAATTACAAAACTGTGAAATTTTCATGAGCACTAGTAGTATGATATGGTAAATTTGTATGAATTTGAGACAACATTTTTGACAAACCTGGTTTGACTGAGGTGACATTTTCTCCAATGCTCTCAACAATTCCAGCCCCTTCATGTCCAAGGATCACAGGGAAAATTCCTTCTGGATCAAATCCATCCAAAGTATAAGCATCAGTGTGACAAACACCAGTGTGAAGAATCTGCAGAAAAAAGACTACAATGGTATTATCCTAAAAGAACTATTTTCCTTTTTTGTTCAGGATATTTGATATCCCAACACAAAATATGGATGTGCAGGAAGTATAAAGGTTACTGATGCTGAAAACGGAATTGGCAAGCTCTCAAATTCATGCTTTGCCCATTGCATTCACTTTCACACAAAGGGAAAAAGCATGATGCCAGCTGTTCTACTCCCCGATTTAAATAGTTGGATAGACTGGGTTCTTTAGTCTTGCCTATCTAGCAGTCTAGAAGGTCTACTTTGAATTCAAAACCATGAAAAATCACAGACAAAGAAAAGAAACCTGTCAATTACTGAATGTCCAGAAGGAACGTGACATTAAGAAAAAAGGTTTGACATCGTAACATTGTATCTCTTTTGGAATCAGAGAGCAGAGTTCCAATTCCACCAGGGTTAGTAATATTCACTTATGTGCAAGTAACCTTGGGAAAGCTATGAATCCACCTTCGGTAACCCATCCTCTAAAAATGAACTCATGGGTTTAGTTTCAGCACCACAGCTTAACAGGAGTTGATTAAATCAAAGAACATATGAAGATTACTAATTTATTATCCAGAGGGTGGCTCCAAACCTTTAGCCTAATGTGGGGGGGGGCATTGAATATTGGTAATTTCATTGCTTTATTGCCTAAGCTTCTGATATTTTTATAGTAAGATCAAAATGTAGTATTGCTGCCATATCAGGGCTGGAGTTGTTCAATCTTCAACTTTGATAGAATCCTTCTGCCATGCTTTATTTTTTTTACAAGAGTCAATTTGATAAAAAAATGGATTATTGCTACCATATCTGGACTGGTACTGTTTAATAATCTTTAGCACATTTCTCGAATGTCGAGGATGATAGACACAATATACAACTGCTTAAAAAATAAAATGGAATATCTATTTCAAATCTGAGTAACTATAATAATGTTTGAAGTAATAAAAATAATAATTATGAAATTAACCAATTATTACATAAAATTTTATCTCTTTTTGCCTATCACACCTAACAGGCTAATGGCAAATTTAAGGTTGACTGATTTTAAATTTTAGGTAGCCCTCTAAAAAGGAACTCATGCATTTAATACTTAGCAGGCATTAAAGATATGAAGCTTAGTAATTATTAAATTCAGTTGGATGAGGAGAGATCTTTGGCCTATAGTGTATACCATATTTTTCGGCTTGGAAGACATCCTAATATTGGAAAGAAATTTCTAAGAAAAAAAAATAATCATTTTCATATAACACATTCACCATGTGTCTCTCACATACTTGCGCCACGTACTGTTTACATTAATCACTCATCCGATTTTGTTTGTATGGCAATGACATACTAGTCAAAAGCAGAAAGGCTCCCACCGCTGCTAGTAAATAGCGCATGTTTAAGTTTGTGGCTTGGCTCCAGGAAGGTTTATAGTCTTGGAAATACTTGTAACAGCTAAATACTGAGGTTACATAATATAAAGGACTGAATTAGATAGTGTAATGACGCAATATACAAATCCATGTCCCTATCAGTCAAGCCAATTAAGTGACTGTCCAAGCTTACTTGAGCCTGGGTGTTGCCTTACATTTGTCTTGGAAGACGCACACATATTTTTCAGGGTTTTTTTTTTTTTTTTTAAGGAAAAAAAATGCATCTTGTAAGCCGGAAAATACAGTAATTATAAACATCATATTTAGTGTGTAAACATGTTTAGAGTAAACATTTGTTTTCTTTTGAAGCAATATAAATGTCATCTACTTGCTTGGGTTCACTTTATCAAGACTCACATAAACCTAGGCCAGTAGCTGACAATTATACTGATTAAAAAAAAAAAAAAGTGTCTACTCAAAACATGTTTTGCCCTCTAAATATTATATTTATAGTAATAATATATAAATCCACCTCTTCTTACCCCAGCCAGCTATTAAATAGGACTTGTGTGATGAAATTTGTAACAATGTTCTCCACTCGGCTGTTGTTCACTGTACCTATGGTGATATCCAAGATGGGCTGTATCGGCATATACACCAGACTTTACTGTGCTCATAGATTTGTCTATTTGGCCATGATAAAATTCAACAGAACAACAACAATTGATTTTCAAGATTCTCTGGTTAGGAAATAACAACAATACGAATTCTCTCTTGTTAGCCGTCTGTTTTCTTTAGCTGTACTTATCTCCCTGACTGCCCACTGGGCCCTTCCACCTCTCCGACTGCCAGTCCCTTCTTCACTGGCTGCTGGTCACTTACTGAGTGCTGGACCCTTTTCTCCTTTACTTCCTGCCTCTCTCTGCTTATATGGATAATAGCTTGAGTCTCACTCCCTCTATCCATCCACTTGTGTTTGAGACCCCCCCCCCTGTTTGGCTTTTTGGGTGGTCAGATCTTGTAAAGATTCCACTTTTATGATTATCTAAAATAATTAGCAACATTTTATGTTTGCCAATTCAAAGACAGGTTGGAGACAGAATGCCCAAAACCACTGACACTTAAGTTGACTCAAAGATGGACTGGAGACAAATTTCCTGAAAGCTTTGGGTACTTAAGTTGACTCAAAGAGAAAGGAATTTATCTACTTATCTCTTAATGATGTGCAAGAAATCGTATTGTTACGCTTGTATCAATAAATCATTATTAACAGCAAAACATTCTTACAATCAAAGAATATATTCTGGCTTTAAATAATCTGCAAAGAGTTGATAAGCCATAAAAAAAAAAAAAAAAAATATCAATCAATATCTCTCTTGGCTTCCACAAAAATGTCCTGTATATCTTAGTTTTGCATGGACTAGCAAAGCTGGCGTGAGATTTGCTAAATAAATCTACCAGTATCAGGCAATGTTATTTTTTGGCCTATAGTGAAATCAATTCACAAAGATGCCCTAACTCTCTTTAAAACTAAATCTGTAATATATGAATTTAAATGTCATTGTGAGCTGACGACATTGGTAGGTTGACTCAACTTATTTACCTAGGTACCTCCACGAGATCGCTAAAAAAAGAGCATAGCATGATGAAAAAGACGCCAAACTTTACGAAAACAAAATTTTATCGTCTAAATGTTTGTTATTATTAAGAGGAAAGGTCAAAGTATTTTTGGGGTATTTTTTTCCATTTTTTAATCGTTCCTAGCACGTCCGAAATTTTCATTAAAAATCTAGTTTTTTTTGAGTCAGCAAAATTGACCATTTTTTTCCATTTAAAAAAAAAAAAAACTGGAAATCTGACTTTGAAATTTTTTAAAATATCAATTATCATTTTTTCAAAACTTATTTTAAGAAAATCAGAAATTATAATGTTTATTTAAAATATTTTGAACCAAACTTAACTTAGCTTTTGTGCCAAAAAAGATGTAATTTGAAAATAAAACAAAGCAGGTCATAAACTTCCGCGTCTCTTGACATGTGATGAATGATATATTCTGAATTGCATGAGGCTAATTTGTTCTCACGGAAGGAGAAAAGTGAAATAATTTACATTTACGTGAACAAATTATTTACCCGTTATTTTTAACGAAAAACTTTCAGCGGTCTAATTTTTTTTTTTTTTTTACTTAGCTTTCACCTTTACGTTTATGATGCTTTATGGGAAATATATTGTAAAGAAATTAAAATAAAACTTAAGAGTGACATTAAATTTCATATTTCTTAAGAAAGGTATCTAATTAATTTATAGGTACCTTTCTTATGAAATTTTATCCAATTGTACATAAAATACTATAATTTTATGTACATTTATTACATTCTACTGTTATTTGTATTTGCATTCATTTTATTATTAATTTTGATATTTCATTTATGGAAAAAAAATAAGTAACTGAGATTAATATAAAAAATAAGATCATATAAATTTCATAAGATGATACCGATACTTGTAGGTACCCTTCTCAGTTGAAATTGAAAAATCAAATTAACTTCTCCACACGTGTTTCGCAAAAAAGTAAAGGCCTTAACAGTGGAGAACAATGCTTAACTCAAATAACGCAGCTTAATTATATTCTGGTTGGTCTTCCGTATTTTATAATTACAGCTCGATTATAAGCACAAAATTACATTTCTTAATTACTGGGTATCTTCTGATTAGTCAAAATGATACAATTTACAACGCGCTAAAAAAGATCTATCTCATAAGGACACTTATGAAAGCCGATCTGACTTTTTTAACTAATTTTATAATATTTTAACAACTTAAATGTAAAATCTATTATAATTAATGAAATAACAAATAATTGTATTAAAAATTCATTTTCATCGAAAAAATTTTTTGCTTTCAGAAAATATTGTCCATATTCATAAAAACAACTAAAAAACAAATAAAAGCATTTGAAATTAAATAATATCTTTGTTTTATTGAGTTTTGTATGTTACAATTCAGAGCTGATTTTCAGGTACTGCGATCCAATTAAAAAAAAAAAAAAAAAAAAACATGATTTGCATTCCTCAAAGCCCTGTGCTTTTTAATTATTGTAATCACTAAAACCGATGCGATCAATTTCTAGCGTTTTCATAAAATTAGTTATGGTGGGGTAATAAATATTTTTAAAAATATTTCTACCATGACTTTCATAAAAAAAAAACATATTTATAATAATTTCGATCATCTGTGAATAGTTCCTGAAAGTTTCATTAACATCCGATAATTATTTCTATTTTTGCACGATTTTTCAAATTAATGTGTGTCATACCAAAAAAACGTGCTAAAAATTGTCTATTTACTAGTTCCGCTGATACAAATAGAAAAAAGGCTTTTTAATCAAAATTTAGAATGTTCTAAAAAGAAGGAAAATTTTTTAAAAATAATTAAAAAAAAAAACTTTGGTCTTTCCTCTTAATAATAACATAAGCATTTAGACAATAAAATTTAGTTTTCGGCAAGGTTGGCGTCTTTTTCATCAAGCTATGCTCTTTTTTTAGCGATTTCGTGGAGGTACCTATATTTACCCAACATCTCCCCCCCACCCCAAAATGCCTTTTTTACACAACATTTTTTGTGGGTATATTGTTAAACTTTGCAAAGATATGACAGATTTCTAATAGTAAACCTCATTAAAAATGCTCTAAACATTCCAAGTGTAAAATTTCATTTAGAGATCACCACACAAATGTCTTACACAAGCAGTTAACCATCCTTGCCTCTTGTCAAGCTTGTGGGAATTATCTTGTCTGTCAAGACACCCCTGGGTGGGGTTATAAAAAAAGGGAAACAAATTCTTTTTTGTTCTAGAATGTGGGAGATAGATTACTTGTTCAATCTTCTGAAGAGACGTAGTAACACAGTACATCCCTCTCAAACACACATTAGGCACCTCCACAAAAAATGTGATAACTAAAATTTAAAATGAAAAAATTGTTCTTGAAGATTTTACGTTAGTTTTAATTTCAAGCTAATAGATTAAATTCATAATTTCATATAAGCAAAATACTTTGCTGTATTTCAAAACTAATTTCAATTGACTAGAAGGATTTCTTTTTGCTAAAATAGCTGATTAGCACCTCTCTTTTTAGCCATCTTTCATCACAATATAATTTGCTTTATTAAAAAAAACCTTCAAAACCAAAATATACTTTTCTGAAACTTTATTTGAGGAATATTTGCCGATTTAAAGTTTAATTAATCTGATTTGAAACAAATATTATTTACTTTAAGTTTCAAATATCACAGAAATGCATTTTTTCACCCAACAGTAGCCATTTTAATGTGTTAAGAACCTGATGACAGATCTTATATTCTACAGAGATTACCTGTAAAACATAAATGAAGAAAATTGCGTACCTTTTATATATAATTTTTAAGTACAAAGTAATCTTAAAAATGTAGGAAAATGTTCTGTGTAAGCTAATGTTTTATTGAATTTTAGAAATATTGACTTTAAATTTACTATAGTCATTGCTCTTATTTTCTGACAATGTCATGTATGGTCACCCATACTGACAAAAATGAACACGTTTATACACATAAAAAAATATTCAAAATCCTTTTCAAAATATGTTTGATTAGTATTAAGCTTTTTCATTTATGATTAGTAAATATAGTTTTCACTTTATATCATCTAAAAGGCCGAAATTAATACAGAATTTTGAAAAGCTTTCACAAAGATGCCCTACCTTTTTTTAAAAAAAAAGGTAATTCTATATATGTATTTAAATGTCAATGTGAGCTAATAACATAGATAGGTCAACAACTTATTTACCCAACATCTAGAACAAAAGAAAAGAAAAAAAAGCCCTTAATTGTAATTAATCTGCTTCTAATTAAAATTTTTAAAAATAAAAACAATTCTTGTAAAAATTCATTATCGAACAATTTTTTTTTCTTAAGACAATAGTATCCTTAACATACCTTATTCATAAAAGCAATTAAAAGCTTTTCTAATTAAATAATGTCTTAATTTTATTGCTTTTATTTTATGATTCAGAATAGATTTTTAGTAAATGGTGTTTCTGTTTGACAAAAACAATTTGATGATTTAAATTCTCCAAGGAGTCCTGCTTTTAACCAATATAAATAAAGCGGTTGAAATTTTAATTTCATAAAATTAAGTAAGTGTGTGTGTGGGGGGGGGGTGACTGATGTAAATAAAAATAAAAAAAATTTTTTAAATGATTTCATTCATTTGTAAATAAGTCCTGAAAATTTCATTAAAATCTAACAATTATTTGATTTTTGCAAGAATTTCCAAATAATTTTTAGGGTTGGTGATTCATCGGTTGTGAGTTTGACCCGACGTACAACTCCAGAAGAGAAAGAAGAAAGGATGAATGCATTGAATTAATTTCCGACAACCAGAAGGAACACAACTCCTGTATGAACGCTCAAATCACAAAAAGAACTATGATGATAGTCAACTATTTTAAATCAAATGAAGTCAACAATAAATGGTACTATAGACAGTAAATTTACTTCATCTCTATATACTATAATATATTTAGGTTTCATTAAAATTCTAAACAACTTTTTAAAAACTAACTTTGCTGAGGAATGAAGGTAGTTAAAATAATAGCGATGTCAAGGGAGAAAGCATCCTTTTGACACCTTTTCTTGTATGTACAAAGGTTAAAATTACCAAAATATATATGTAAAATTCCTCCACATATTGAATTGCATTGCTTGTGAAGACGTTGAATTCAACATCTTATCAAAATTCTCGGACAACTGCATCCAATACAAATTGTAACACTATTCACAAGCTGACTGTTCTGTATATTGGAACTAAAATCAATTTCTTCACAGCCATAAAGAGAGGCCAATGATTAAACAATTGATTCCATTTTTCTATCATTACTAAGAAAGATTTTAGTTGCTAAAGAAATTTAGCAAAATATAGACAACACTTTTTTTTTTTTTTTTAATAAGGTTGAGAACCCTTTGGTCAAAACAGGAAACACACAAACCAAACCCAAAAACAAAAAAAACACCCCCCCAAAACAAAAAAACATACATACATACATACATACATACATATATATATACACACACACCACCCCACAACAAAAAAAATTTAAACACCCCCGCCCAAAAAACACACACAAAACATGTTTTTTTTTCCATTTTATTTTACTGAGATTTAGATCATTCATTGAATACAGTATCAGCCATGCTGACTTGCTCATTTCTTCCCATCCTCATTGCTATAAAGTTACATTTTTGAATTCAGAGCTGCTGTCTTAGACTGGTGGAAAAACACAGCAATAGAGTCCAGCCTTCCCTGCTATTTAACCCATAGCTGAGGAGAAAAGAGATGCACTCATACCTTTCCCATTTGTACGTGAATGTCAAGAACTCAACTAGAATATGAACTCGGCTGTTTTTTTTTTTTATTCCGAGCTGCTACCCATCATACCACTCACACATTTATAATGTCAGCAATACCAATCATTGACAACACAATAAGAAATCATGGAATATCTGTGCATCAGTTACATGATATCGTGTACTTCATAGACAAGAGTTATTGATTAACAAAACAAAAAAAAAAGCTGCATCCACTGAAAGAGTTCAATGATGTAAAGGAGTAATAAAAGCCACACATGTTTTTCATCTCTTTTCTGTTTATCTACTTTTCCTTTTATTTTTCTCTAGCTTTCTTCCTCACCCTTTATATTTAGATTATAGGTGATCATGGTTCTCCACAACTTTCTTTTTATCTACACTATTTACATGTAGACTATTGTCCTTACCTTTTGTTATATTCCGTGCTAATAGGAATATCACTGGAACAAGGTGGATAACTAAATAAAGGTTATTGTAAAACCAGTAGTGAGTGCTGCTGTTTGGAAGGTTGAATAGTTCCCGAGTAAGTCAGAGTTGTACTCAACAGATCCCCCACAAGTCTCCTCGTAGTCCATTACCTTACAGATACTTATAGGTAGTTACTACTTATAGTATAGTCACTAATGGGGGTGCCAGGTTATTCCATTACATCATCTTTTTTTATCTCAACATTTCAGCATGTGTACCTTTTAAGATGCATGTCAAACTTGGTAACCTACAGAGAATTCCAAACTAAACCCTTTATTTAATCTACAGGGGTAGACTCTTCTCATTCCACTGCCCATGTCTAGGAATGCTCAGATATTGCTTGCCCTGTTTCCACCAAGCCCAAGTACACACTGGTCAACCCAGGGATTGAAGCGATGTCACCAAATTCATGAAGCAATGCACTAGGCTATTGTTCTGTGGGACAATCCTGTGTGGAGAACTTGGAGCCTTAAACCTAACCTACCTGTTGATGAATGCTGTTGTTTGTCATTCTTGACAGCACTCACTGAAGTTTTTCTCTTTCTGTTACAGCTACTGCTGCTGAAGACTTGCCATTCTTTTATTTTTTTGTCACAAATCGTAATACTTCCTTTTTTATGACAAATGTGATCTGCTATGACATTTGCTCTACCTTGATTTTCTTGCCAACGATCCGTCCTGCAAGCAAAAAATTCTCTGAGCCTCACATAGCTGGAAGAAGGGATATAGTAAAGAAATTAATAAATTTACCTTGATACGAACTTCACCAGCCTTGGGAGGTGCCACTTCTACCTTTTCAATACTAAGAGGTTTCTTGGCTTCCCAAGCAACGGCTGCCAAGCAAGTGATGACCTGCAAATAAGAAAAATGCATTTCTGAATATATCAAGAGTAAAAGAGGGAATCAAATAAGTACATATGCATTATCTCCCTTGGTGACAATAGCAACAAGATACATAGTAAAAGTTTCTTGCTCAAACAGGTAAATGTTACAGGTGTCAGATCAAAATGTTCGATTTTTCATTTTAATCATCTTATATAAAAGTCATATTTCAGCTATTAATAAAGAAAGAAAAATAATTGGAAGCAGAGGGAGTCAAGCTTGACAGCAAGGCTACAGCAACAGAAGAGGCAATAAAAAAATATTTTGTTTATATCTTTGGTTCATGAATTTAGAGGCATAATAATAAATCCCTAGACTGAGTAATACAGATTCAGACCCCATGGAAAAGGGACTAATAATAACTGAACAAAAAAACAAATGGTGCATAAAGGTTGGGAACTCCAGCTCTATGTGCAGATAATCTTCTTTTTCCTGCCTTGGTCCTATACACAAAATGCCATTACTCGGATTTGCAACCCCATCTACCGACTCCTTTTTTGAGATGGGGTAACACCCATTTAGTTTGATGCCTTCTCTAGTATATCTCAATTGGCCACAATTTTAACATCAGATATGCAGACGATACTGTGTTGATAGCAGACATAGAAAGAAAACAACAGGAACTCCTGCAGACATCAGTAAAGAAAAGCAAGAAGAAAGGACTAAATATCAATTGTAAAGAAAGAGAGAACATATAGTTGTCAGTAAAAGGGACAGACCAAAATGTAAATTACAAATTGGAGATGCCAAAATCAAGCAAGTTCATATATCTAAATATCTTGGTAGATTTTTAACAGAGGACAGAAAATGTGATACTAAAATACAAAGACATTAGTATAACAAAAGTTGCCTTCCAAACATTAAGCAAAGTATTAAGAAACTGGAAAATTGTTAAAGAACAAAAGAAAATACCAAACTTATGTAATGTCGGTTTTCATACAGAGCAGTGAATCCTAGACATTTTCCTTACAGATGAAAAGACTTGAAAATACAGAGAAGCGGTTCTACAGAAGGATGCTGAGAGTACCATAGACTGAACATGTGGGCAATGAAGTTTTAATACAGTAACAAAAAGCTAAGCAAGAAAATTTTGTTAAACCCTCTAGGAAATGAGGGTAGGGAATATCAGCTCATCCCCAAGCAGCCTTTTTGGCTGTCCCTCCCCACAACGGGTTATTTATCCTCGTAAATGAGTTAGATTATCTGAGCCACCTGCTCTGGCATGAAGTTTCCAACTCAAGTTCTACTGAAATGATCCTCCAGCAACCTCTCATTTAGTAATTCTCTACTTTGAGTGGATCTTGGACCTTGAATTTTGTGGAAGATAAGTTTATAAAAAAAAAAAAAAAAAAAAAAGCTTAAGCAGCCTCACAAAGACAAATTAGCAGAATGACATTGTAGATTAAATAAAGAGTTTACTTCTAAATTCCAAAGTTTCTATGTACAAGAAGACTGCTTGAAAGCCAGAGTGGGTGACATCTAAAATCTAACAACAGGAAAAGAAAAAAAAAACAAGAAAGGGGGAAAAAGAAAAGGAAAAAAAATGAAAAGAAAAGAAAATGAAAAGAAAAGAAAAGGAAAAAAAGATTTTAAAAAGTGGATTAAAATATTTCTTGATAAATTATCAACTTGAAATATCCTGTGCAACTCAAAGGGGAGTCAACAAAGATGGCTTCCAAAAAGACATTATCAACACAAAAACTCAAAAAGATTAAACAACCTACTTGAAAAGTAAAAAAAAAATTCAACCCATTAAAACCGTTTATACAAATTCAACTGTTTATTCACAGTTCAAATAAGACATTCCTTTAAACCTATATTTTAAGAGAACATTAAGCGAAGCTCTTTAAAATTCAAATTTCACAAATCTTATTTCACAGCATTTAAATCAGACTTGTCACACATTAAAACATTTTGCAATTCCCTCAAATATAACAATTTGCAGAATAATCTGTTTCATAAAATGAATTATAGTGCATTATCTCTAATGAACACAAGTGCAATACATTTACATATTTCTACAAGTATTTACATAGAAATACATTGAAAATGTTTTCTATCTAAATTTTTAGTATTTGCTTGGGAATAAATTAACATTTTGGCACATTTGTTTAATAAATCCTGCCCAGGATAAGAAACAACCTGTATGAATATAAATTTTATTTAAAAAGTACAAATTTAAATACTGTGTTGAATTTCCTTGAACAAGCAGCAATATCAATATTTTATAACCAGCTAGGCAAGACAGCTTTGTTTTAAAAAAAAAAAAGAAAAAAAAAAATGCACCACACCTGTTAAATAAATTCAAACTATCAAAATAATTATCTACGATAAAATTAAAAACATCTAAGTTTAACAGAAATAAGCTCACTGGCAAAACTCATAACTATGCCATACCAAAATCATGAATTTAGATAACCCATAGGGAACTGTGTTCTGACACAATTAAACCCATAAATAATTAAGTTGGACACATCACTACCCATCTGTTGAGACAGCTGTTGCTACATATCTGACCAGAGATCAATATGAACACATTTAAACTGGTAGGATATTGCAGCAACTTCAATACACAACACATTTGTTGAGAACCTGAATTTAAGTACCTCCCCACTGCAAAGAACATTTGAAAGTAACGGAAACCCTTACAAAACAAAACACAAATACAAAACCAACCGATAATGATATTAATTCTGAACATGGTCACAATGTACTGGCCATATTTGGAAATTCAGAATATGCTTACTTTCAGCAGCACTTCATACACCCCATCCTGGGTATGACAATAAACTACATCTGGCAGCAAAGACTGATCAGGAGGTTTTCAGGAGCATGGAACCACCTTAATTGTTGTTGTTCCCAGGTCCACCATAACCCAGAGTGGTAGAAACTGTTAGGGGTCCCAACCATGGGTAAATAGTTAACCCCCCACCCCATCCAAACTGGAGTCAATACACTATGAAAGTATAAAAAATATTTTCATAGTTAAAATACCAGCAATACATTTTTCTAAAGGAAATTACTAATGTTCCCAAGAAAATTAAACTCTTCAGCATTAAATGACCCATGAAAGTTTATATGCCAATAAACTAACAACCTCAAACTTAGACATCATTTGTTATAGTAGTACAACAAAAATATAATCCTTGAAATGGTTAACAGAAAAAACATTGAACCAACAAACATTTGGATAATTTTTTTTATATTCGTTAAGTTCATAAAAGTAGACACTTAAGCATAAACAAGAAAAACAAAAAGTATCTTGTCAGTTTGAAAAGGATTGCTGCCTAAATACACACACACATTATATATATAATACCAATTGGTAGTTGGTAGGAATAATTCTGACAATGAGATTTTATATATATATATATATATATATATATATATATGTGTGTGTGTGTAAAAAATATATAGAAAACAGGAAAGAACTCGTTAGGTAAATAATCCAAAGTTTTTTAGTATTTTTGTTATTATTTTTTAAAAATAGTGCTCGATACAAAAGTAGAGCATAAATATAATTATTTATTTAAAAATATGATTCCAACGCTACATAAGAGTTCTCATGTTTCAAAGCAAGAGCCAAAAACTTCAATATAATTATTTGAATTAAATTGAATTAAAGTACTAAGCTCTGTTCCATCTTCAAGCGAAATTTTTTTTTGAATAACTTATTCCTAAAATTTACGCATTTTATAAGCATATTCATTATTGAAATTAAGATTACTATGGTAACAGCTAGAGCAATTGTTTAAAGAAAAGGGGATAGTTTAAAAATCAGGAGGTCACTTAAAATATGCAACCATGGTTTCAACCTGATGGTCTCTTTGGGCAATACTTTTAAAATGCCCAATCAAAAGGGGCAGGAATGCAAGTGTATTGTAAGTGTATACAGTGAAAAGGGAAATCAAATACAGTGTAACCCGGATATAAGAGAAATTTTTCTCTGGTCCCAAATTAGAGCCTGTGTTAATGTATATAAAATAGACCAAACCTGGATATAAGAGACTTCTTCTCCGGTCCCGCCAACTCTCTTATATCCGGGTTACACTGTATGTAACTTAAGATCAAAACTGTGGTAATGTATTTTAACAGACCTGATTTTTACACTTAAAAGCTCTACATGTTATTTTTATTTTACTTATTTTTTTTTTCTCACGTGTATTGAGCACTTTTTAATACTACTGTTCCTTGGTCTGATTCAAATCTGACCATTAACCTGTAATATATATATATATATATATATATATATATATATATATATATATATATATATATATATATATATGGATGGTATAAAATGACAATTAGAAAAAAATCTTAGATTTTGGTGACACATTTCATTTTCCAACTTTTTCAAGACAAAAATGAAAGATCCCCCAATGTCAACACTACAGTTAAATTCCCATATCAATTCTGTGGACAATACAAATTGGTATAAAATGACAATTGTCCACAGAATTGATATAATTAGTATTAAAGGAAATTTACATTAACCAGAAAAAGGCTAAGACAGAAGCATCTATCTTTTTAAATTTGGATTTTTTAATGTAACTATAATAACAAAGACATTTTGATTTCATTTTTGCCTTGAAAAAGTCGGAAAAAACGAAACGTCGGCAAAATCTAAGATTTTTTCCAACTGTTATTTTATACTACTTTATCTTGTCCACAGAATTGATCTGTGAATTTAACTGTATATATATATATATATATATATATATATATATATATATATATATATATATATATGTGTGTGTGTGTATCTGTATATAAAATGATTTGCCTTGACCTTTCAGCCACAACAAAAAGAACCTTCTAGTCAAACAAAGCCCGAATAGTGCTTTTGAACACTAGATATTCTGTTTCTCGATTATTCAGGCCTGTTGATGAAAATAAAATAAATAAATAAAAACAGGGTATCTACTCAAATATGGGTATCCATTAAATAACATTTAAGCAATAGATTA